GTTGGTGAGGAGCCCTTATTAGATGCATCTCAAATTTGAAAAATATTATAGAGATTAATGTACTTGACTATTTTCATATCGGACATTATTAATGCAGTTAACAAGTTGAGCCAATTCATGTCTCATCCTTGGACCACTCACCTCACTACTCTCCATCAGATTCTGCAATACTTGAAATTCACTCCAGGTCAAGGAATTTTATTTCCTACAGCATTAGATACAAAGTTGACAACTTTTGTTGATGTTGATTGGGGCTAAAAACACTTTTAAAATCGGTCATTTTTTAGTTTTAAAATCGGTTCTCTGACCGATTTTAAAAGAGCCGATTTTAAAAAGTGAGACTTTTAACATCGGTTAACGACCGATTTTAAAAGTTAGACTTTTAACATCGATCATGCCATAACTGATGTTAAAAGTTATACTTTTAACATCGGTTATGACACGACCGATGTTAAAAGTGGTTAATTTTTTTTAAAAATAATTGATTTGTTTTAAGAGGATCCCTGAACAAAACCTACAAATTAATAAAATACCAGACAATTCATATGTTTTCAATGGACCAAATTACATACAAATGACAAGAGTTGGTAAATGTCAACCATATATGTAATTAAAGTAACTTACAAATTATTATGCATCCTAAACTACAAAATGAGTAAAACTATAAACATAACTCATAGCTAGTCAATGTTTACAAGAGGAATAAGGCCTGGTGAGGAGGAAATTGAATGCTTAAGTGCAACTAAACTAGTAAAGTGACCCAAGTGAGTTACAGCACCAAGACTTCTATTTCCTTTCAGAAGTTAACAACATAGATTTCTTATTCAACATTTGCATATTTTTTAATTTGGTCAAACATAACTGCAAAGTGCACCGATTCAGAAGTGATCCACCAGAAGTATTTTCCTTTCTACTTTCAATCATTAAATTGAAATTTCCTTGATCACTTATTTTGCATATAAGCCAACTCCATAGCATTCTACTATATTGGACTCTTTTTTTTTATATAAACAAATGTTAGTAATTAGTATGTTATGTTAGTAGAGAGGATTCGAACCCACAGCACCCCTTACGCCCCTCCCCCCAAATCACCAAACCACCTTATCACTCCAGTTAGTAGGGGGGATTCTACTATATTGGGTTGATCTTCAATTGTAAACATATCTTTATTTGATTAAACAATAAATAATTAGTACATAAATATAATATGCAGCTTATTCTGATTTAAATGATAATAAATATTAAAAGGCTTTTAATAGAATAAAAAATCAGTAGAACATTATATAAGTATTAGCAACAAAACAAAAAACCAAAACACTTAAAAAATTAAGGTGGCAAGTCGCAAGTTGTAAGTACCCTAATATCTGATTGGCCTTGCTGAACAAACCCACAGCAGCAGGCACATTCTGAGCTTCCTTCCCCATTCCAACAGCTTGGGCATGCTACAATCACGGAAATAGCACTAGTCGATGTGGGATTCCCACAAAACAGTGGAATTGAGGAATGGCGTACCTGGCCATAAGCATAGAAAGAGGAGAGAGAGAAAGCGTACCTGGTGGTGGCAGATGGTGGCGCGAGCAGTAGTTTTCGGTTGCGTGCGTGTCTGACTCGTGAGTTTGTAGGTAAATTAATGCGTAGGGAGACAGACAAGACCCTTTTGTAGAAATTTCAACTTGGAATGGGTCATTCCTAAACTGGAACAGGCCATTCCAGGATCTGAAAAATGCCTAAAATTGTAGTCTGGAACGGCCTCAGAACAACCCATTCTACTTGTAGAACGACCCGTTCCAAATTTGAAATTCGCCCAACAACAACGAAACTAGAGACATGAGAAGAGAATGTTACCTTGATATTGTAGTCTTGCAAAGAAAATGAGAATATGCAAACTTTAGATGAGAGCCCGAGAGAGTAAAGAAAAGAATGGAGGGATAAATGAAAGAGAATGGAGCCAAAGATCAAAGAGAATGGAGGGGAAGGGAGAAATCGCGGGATAATTAAGTTCTGGCATTTTTAACATCAGCTATCTATGAACCGATTTTGTATGTAGTTTTTAAAATTGGTTCTTAAATAGTCGATTTTAAAAGTAGCCACTTTTAAAATCGGCTATTTAAGAACCGATTTTAAAAACTACATACAAAATCGGTTCTTAGATAGCCAATGTTAAAAGTAGCACTTTTAAAATCGGCTATTTAAGAACCGCTTTTAAAAGCAGCATCAGAGACCTTTTAAAATCGGTCATAAGGTAGCCGATTTCAAAAGTAATGTCATTATTTACAAAATTGCCACCGCGTCACTTTTAAAATCGGTTACCTTATGACCGATTTTAAAACCTCGATTTTAAAAGTGATTTTTGTACTAGTCTGTCCCGTGAAAATTAACTTTTGGATTTGGATTATATGTTTTCTTTGTCAGCTCCTTGATATGTTGGAAGTCAAAGAAACAACTAATAGTGGTTAGGTCATCAGTTGAAGTAGAATATAAATATCTTGCCTCATTGATAAATGAGCTAGCTACTTTGGATACAACAATTGTAACGAGTTTGAAGTCAGTGCTCTATCTATGAAGGTTTTTTGCAATAATAAATCTATTATTCAACTAGCAAAAAATCCATCTTCTAACGATAAATCCAAACATGTCATTGATTGTCAGTTCATTGGGTAACATGTTGATTCCAAACTCATTAATCTCATTTACTTTCCATTTTCTCAACAAGTAACAGACATGTTCACCAAGGCCTTGCCTCGTTCCAAGTTCTCAACACTATTATCCAAGTTAGGCATATTAAACATTCTTCACCCACCTTGAGGATGAGTTTTACAGTTAGGGAGAAACAATTTTATATTTTAAAAGATTAACAATTTCTTTGTTAGCCCCTTTTATTACGATGGTTATTAGAATTAATGGTTTTAGCTCCCTTGTATATAAGTGTGATATCAACACTGTAAATGTGTGAGATTTATTTTTTTCCTTTCAATAAAATTTCTCTCCAAGTTTTTCTTTCTCAAGTTTATGCATCTTCGTATGAGATAGTTATTTAACCATTGATTTTTATTTTACTCATAATGGTTTTGGTATATTCAGATTGTTCAATATATTTTGTTTTGTCTATAAATTGTTCGATATGTGATTTTCAACCTACTCATTAGGAAGTTTGAAAAGTTCCTCAAGAGAAACAACAAAGAAAAGGGCTCTTCATTGAAGAAAGCTTTCAAGATGAGTGATTCTCCAACCCCCATTTTCACATGCTTTGAGTGTGGGAAAAATGGTCACATAAAGTTTGAATATTCTTCCTTTAAAAGGAAACAAAGTGTTGAGAAGAGTTTCAAGAAGAAAGGCATGAGAAGAAAACATCTCAACCTCTTCAAATAATAAAAAGAGAAAGATGTGAAGGCAAACATATGTCTCATATGAGAATAAGTGAGTAGAGGGTGGATATATAGGCTCAAGCTTGTGGGTTGGTCGTGGACTGCATGTTTTATGAGTCTATTTTTTTTTAAATATGAACAATTATAAGAGAAATTGAGTTTGACTCACAAAGCTAATGAATTTTGCATGCTTAACATGTGGTTGAACCCATTTACTACAACATAATTATTTTTTCTAGCTTTCTATAAGAACTTTTAAAATATGAGTGATTTGTATTATGTTAGTAGATACGTATAAGTAATACTTAGCAAAAAAAATATGAGTATAAATAATAAGTATTGAATTTAATAATTTGCAATTTAAAAGATGTTGTATATATTCTTTCTACCTTAATATTAGGGGTGTGCAAAAAATCCAAATTGATCCGAACTGATCTATAACCGATCCGATCCATATTGAAAATCTGATCCATTTTGAAAAAAAATTCGAACCGAACCACTTTATAAAACCGGTTCAGTTATCTGATCCATTTTTACAAAGTGGATCGGTTCGGTTCAGTTTGGTTTTCTAAAAAAACCGATCCATATATGAATAAAAAAGTGGATAACTGCACCGCACCGAACCGATCCAATTTCAAAAAAACTGATCCATATTTTAAGAAAACCAAACTGATCCACTTTATAAAAAATGGATCGATTAACCGATCCACTTTTATAAAACGGTTCGGTTCGGTTTGGATCAGTTTTTTGAAAAAACCGATCCATGAACACCCCTACTTAATATGTTTCAGTTTAAATGTGTAAATCTTTATATGTTAAAACTATCATAATTTATTTTGATTTTAGAGTGTTTGATGTATATTTTTATATAATTTTTTTTTATGTATTACTCTCTTGTATTTCCTTAGCATAAGAAAAGGAAGGAAAAAATATATTTTTTCAATGTTGTTAAATTTAGATATTCTCTTCAAATATTAAGAACCATGTAAAAATATTAGAATAACCGATACTTGACAATTTACTGAGTTAATTTATTTAAATCCAATTACTATATATATAAGAAGAAATAGGGTATATTATATTGATAAATAAATTCAAAAATAAAAATTTGGCTAAGAAGAAAAAAAAGGAGAGGATGTTTTGCATCACATATTCTTGCAAGCGCAGGAATTTCATTTAGTTGCGGGTTTGTTGTTGTGCTGCTATTCTCTTGTCAATATATAGACTAATTTTTTACAGTATTATAATATTCTTAATATTATTCAACAATCATACTTAGAATTTTATTAAAATAATATCTGTAATAAAATATTTTACTAAGACAAAATTTTAATATTAATTAAAAAAACATTACTTATGATGCTAATGTATATAAATTTTATCTTTTATTCTTTTACATACATTTAGAGAATGGGTGGAGACTAATTGTTTGTGATACATTTAAACAATGAAAACCTCACTCAATACTATTTTTTTTCCAATATCCGTTTATACTAGAGTGAGACGCATGACTCCATGATTACGGAATCCAGGTCCCTTCCATGATCTTACTAACTTATGTTGGCATTTATATAAAGTTGTTATAATAATCACTAATTGATACTATGCACCACCAATCAATAAATTTGACAATGGTTAAATTCGACAGTGATTAAATTGCTTTAAGTACAATATTAATTTGATAATACATCATGGATAAACAAACCTTAATTAGTAAACCAAAAAAAGGAGGAAATTAAAACAGGGTAGGAGACTGATGCGATCAGATGGTACGTACGGTGCAGTTGGATTGTTTTACTACTGAAAATACACTATTTACTGTTTATTGTTGATAATCCTAATGGCTATTCATACTTAGTGGCCTCTGGATCAAGAACCTGAAGTGTGAAAGAGGAATATCATTAGTTAACAATCAATGGTTTTATACAAATTAAGAACATGTAGAAATGGAGCCAAAAAAACTCAAATAATATAAGAACAATCCACAAGATACTCATTTCAGATTTGAGACCGAAAACCTGTGCTTTCTGTGTCAAATCACATGGCTGTTGTTGTTCTTATAATTTGGCTTGTCTTTTTTGTTGCCCTTTGGTTCAAAGCACATGGCAGTTGTTTGAACGAGCAAGGGTAGGGCCATGAATAATAAGTTATCTAGCCATGGATCGGATATGATTAATTAGAACTTTCGATCGATGAGCTTAGAGAAACAATTTTTCATTATTAAGTGCAAAAGACAAGGCACTATAATTAAATGCACACACAAGTACATATATGGGTAATGGGTGTACAAGATAATTTGGTCACAAGTAGAGGAAAACTAATGGACCACATAAAACTAGTATTTTCAGGGCTTTCTATTTCAAAAGTTCCCATCTTATTCAATGGACCCCGCAGCATGTAGTACGTAGTAGCACACGACAATCACGGTGCAAATACTAATTGCTTTGTATTATATATGATATGATAATTAAACTTCAATCATAGAGAGAGTGATAGCCACATTACATGACATGTTATTAGAGAATGCTATATATATAACTTTACAACATTTAGTTAAACTGCATTAGGGTGCTTATAGATTATATTTTGCATGAGAATTGAGAAATGATACTAATGAATCCAGAAAAGTAAGCCTCAGGTAAAAGAAAAAATGTGTAATATATAATACCTGTGTTGTAGTTCTTTACCAAAGACTAATTAATTAGTTGGTGCTGTTGTTGGTTTTGTAACGAGGAAATGGGACTTGGCCATTTTCAATGCGTTTAACATCTTCTTTGAGGATCTCATAGTGCCTCTTAACCTCCTCTACTGATCTTCCCACCACATTGGCCACATTCTGCCACCTGTCAGGGGTTTCCTTGTCATATAAAGCAAGGGCTTGTTCAAACAATTTGTTCTGCCTCGAAGTCCAAGATGTTGATGCCATTTCTTGATAAATTTGTTATATTAAGAGGCAGTGAGGGATGGGAGAAGGATAAGAATGATTAATATTTTAGTGAGGAGGAAGAGGATGGGAATGGTTATGTTTTGGTCAAGGGAAGGTATAAGTCAAGGGAAGGCATGGGAAAGAAGTGACCATCGTAGCTCCTTATAAGTAGGAGAAAAGGTGATAGTGTGGGGTTTGAACTTGGTGGTCGAATATATCTTCCAAAAGGACATTGAAGATAACGTGACTCGTCCCCTTAAGAGCCACAAGTGAAGAGGGACAATGTACAACAAGTGGAGGAGGAGAATCCAGATTAAAAGACAAGCCTTTAAACGTTTTAACCAAAGATATATGCTTCTTACCATTTGCTTCGTATCTTCGCCAACTGGATTTTCCTTTTCATTTACATGTTTGTAAACTAACTTGTTACTTACAATAAGTTAATGGTTTGAGCATAATTAGACTCAAACTTTAAGGAAAATTTTGGTTAAGTATTGTAGATGAAAAAATAGTTAGAAAATGAGGTCTCACTAATAATGGTCAATCAGATTCTTCGACGAAGTTTAATTATTGACAAAGCAAGTGGATACTTCACACCTGGTTACAAAAAATTAGTTTATAAGAATTTGCTTAGCTGCAATAAAATTAGGAAAATAATATCATCATGTCTTATGCATTATGGTATGTTTAGTTGGATGAAAAGTGTTTTGGATGGTCGAACGGATAAGCACCAAAGAATGAGAGCTCCAAGGACAAGGCTCTAGTGAACAGAGGAAGAGGGTGGTAGCCACATGCAAATACTCAAGCCATCAAGTATTCTAGTAGAGAACAATATGGTAAAATCACATAACACAATGATACCTTCAGAAGATATTGTTTATATAAGTGTAGAGTGTGACGTATGTTAAAATTTTGAGGCAAGTGCACCAAGTCTATGTAATATAGGAAAAGTAAGGATTGTTGAACCTTAGGGACTTGGGAGATAACTATGATTTATCTTATTCTTGCCAATACTTGTTAATGTAAAATTTACAATAAATTGAGTCATAAACTTTGAATTCACCAAAGTGGTTCAAACACTAAGAAACACATAAAATCCTTAAAACAAAGAGATATCAATATATAAAGTCGTTGAGATTAAGTTTCATCTCAGTCTTATGCATTCTTACAATTCTTTATTATCTAACTTCTGTTATCCGATACCATTGAATTCACTAAGTTCATTCAAAACCAATTCCTCGAATTTAGAAATTCTAAGAAGTCAAACTTAATAAATGATTCCCCACTTTATTATGTTGGAGACCTTGCATGACGAGTAAAAAATGTCTCAGCTAATAGTTCCAAATCTATTCCTAGCCTTTAAAACTATTAGGTGATTTGATTTATAACTAGATTCAGAAAGCATTTTCCAACTAAAATCCAAATCAAAGATCAAAGATAAGTGATCAATTTATTTCAGCATTAAGAACAATCAAAATCACTGATACTAAATAACAGATCATTATATATATGAATCAAAAGGAATACATAAGAGTTTGATGGTTACATTTAATCTCCACTACAAAAGAAGATCAGCTCCTCATGATGAAGAAAACCAATCTATAAACTATAGAGAATAGGTGTAGAAGAAGAAAAGAAACCCTTAGAACCCTTGTTCCCAGTTGGCTCTTGGACCTCGGAATCGTTCTTCAACTTCTTTTCTTTATTCTCTTTGTTCTTTCATTCTCCCTTATTTTTTTCTCCTTTTATATGTCAGCCAAAATAAAACAAAGTGTAGAAGAGAGAGATTAAACTGCTCAATGCTTCTCAAATGGTTGAGCAGCTTGGGCATCCTTCATGTTAAAGAAACATCAATGGTTGAGCCCCTAGAGATTCGTTGAGCCTTTTGAGATCAGATTCTTCATGGCCTTTAGACTCAAACCACTCAGCATTTTCCCAATGGCTGAGCGATTTTGGGTTTTCCAGAATCCTTGTTTTCTTCCTTCAAACCTCTAAATGCTTTGCCCACAATTGAGCGATTTTGGATTTGAACTCTACTTGAATTTCCAACTACAAAACGACAAGCCCAAATCAATATACAAATATCATCAACTCTCAACAAAAATATATAACTTCATATCCTTTTGATTCCAGTTATACAAAAAATAGGGGGTTACTTGTCAATTACATATCAAACTAAATAAATAAGTGTCTAAAATGATCAACTACTTGAGTAAATTAGACATTTATCAACGTGAAATGTGAAAGTTTGTTAGGACATATTTGAGTTTGTGAGGATATTTAGTATGCAAAGTTGTTTAAATGTGCCCTAATCCATTCTTGTGTCTAAAAGGACTTAGTAAAGTAATATCTTGGATGGAAGCTTGAAGCTTATGTAAGATAAGTGTTAAGTTGGAAATTCTCCATAAGCGCTAAATGTTGATTAACAATGAATATTTCATTCATATATAGGTCAAGACTCAGGATATTTTTCCATAACAACTGCTACCAAGTCGATATAAAACTAGAGTGTTGATTTACATATGCTTTGAGATATTTCTCCATAAAAAATGAAAATAGAGAGAAAATGAAGTATAGATAATAATTTTTTTAACTAAAGAGAAAGAAAAGAAAAAAAAATAAACATACATGTTGTGTAGTATATTTCATATTGACCTAGATCTGAGGTGTATACCATATTTTACTTCTTTAGCAACATTTATTTACTTTCATTTATTAAAATGTCACTATAAATTGAGTAAATATGTTATTTTGCAACTTTTTTTTGTAAAAAATGTTACTATCGATAAAGTAACATTTTTTTTATCTCAATATCATTATCTTTAATTGTTTCTAAAATTAAAATTTATCGAGTAAAAAAAAATGTCATATAAAGATTACACATCTCCAATCTCTAATTATTTTTCAAAATTAAAGTCTCACATTGAATAAATGAATAATGCATAAGGAGTATATATGATTATAGAGTTATACTTAATATAAATGAACTTTGATATTTAATATAGATTTGGTGGTGACTAGCTAAGAATGTCTTCAACCTTAAAGAACTTGTAACATGTTATACGAGGCATAAAGTATAATAGATAACAACATTTATATTAAAACTAATTATTATTTTATAAAGTTAACTCAAACTTAACAACGTTATTAAAATATTACAAAAATATTATTTTATTATCTAATTAAATATTATTAAAAATCTTTAACAATATAAACTATATATAACATTTGATAATATATTGTAAAAGTAAATTAACAACATTTATATACAATTAGGTAACTTTTATTCAAATGTTGCCAAGAACTTTTTCTGTTGTAGTGGAACAACGATACAACATTTTGACACATGTTGCAGATAGATAAATGAGTAAATGAAAAGATTACTTTGACAATATTTTTTATTCTAAACTAACAATATTTAATAAATATTTGCCTAACATTTGTGACAAATTGTATTTACGAGGGCATGATATGTGATGAATTCCTTAGCATGCGACCTAAGGTCTCCCATAGCAATAAAGGAAAAGAAAAGTAATAGATTTGATAAATGATGGAAGAAGTGAAGAGAGATGAAAAGAAAAATGAAATAAAAAAATAAACAGAAAAGAAGTAAATAATGTATGATAATTGTTCTTAAAGTCTATATCTAACTTAAAACTCTTAAGCCAATATTACTTTCTTTTTAAGTATTACTAACTTGAGATAAATGTTCTAGAGAAATACTGACATGAGTTCCATGGATTAACTTGCGATCGATAGTGAGGATTCGAATCTTTAACCTTACTTAAACGTCTCCTATCGTTGAATCACGCGCTTGGATTCTCTAAATGTCAATATGATAAATTATTTTCTTATATATTGCTATTTAGGAGATATCTTTAGTAACTTAGGTGTTAGAGTGTTCGTTGGTGATTAAAACCATTAGTCTCGTTGTTTGAGTGCTTTGCAATGGGGTTGGGCTTGTTGGATTCCATCATGTTCTATATTAGAACCATAATAATTTCTTGCTAAGTTTAGGAGACGATGGTTGGTCATAGTTAGTCAATTAGGCACAATTCTTTAGCATGAACTCGAGGTATCATGAAAATATTCCTTTCCATTGAAATTTAGTACGAGACCCTTCGTGATTTTAAATATAAGTTTATACTATTTTATAATATAATTAATTAAATAATTTTAATGACTAAGGTTTCATACAGTAAAAATTTGACTGTAGAGCATGTCGTATAAAGAATGCTATGTTGTAAATATAATGAACTCGTATAATCTTCATAACGGATATTGACATTCACTCCTAGAAAAGTGTTATTTTCTTGTGAATTTTCCTAAAAAAAATATTCGTAAAATTTTTTTGTAAATTTTCTTGCAAAAAAGTATTTGCAGAAATTTTTTGCGAATTTTCCTGCAAAAAAAAAAATATTCGCAAACATTTTTTTGCGAATTTATTTGAAAAAAATAATTTACAAATATTTCTTACAAATTTTGCTACAATTTTAATAATCATAGAAATTTTTTTCCATGGTAAAAATTTGCAGAAAATATTGTAAGAATTTTATTTTTTTTTCTTGCATATTTTCTTGCAAAAATAAATTCGCAAGTAATGTTTACTAAATGGTAGAAAAATTTGCAGGTAACTTTTCCTGCGAATTTTCCTGCAAATTTTAATCCGTAGGAAAAATAAAAAAATATTTAAATTTATAAGTTTAATATTTTAAAAAAACTTCAAGTCCCACATCGATTGAGAATAAAGCAATTAAAAAGTATATAAGTTAGGGCAACACTTACCTTACAAGTTGATTTGTATGGTTGAGTGTTAAGTTTATAATCTACAATCTTAGAATTTAAAAGATTATGTATCACATGTTGGAGGCATGGAAAAAAATGCTTCGGATGAATTCATTGTGAGCATTTGAAAATTAAAAAATTATTGATAAAATTTATAGTAATTTTGCATTTGAAAATTAAAAAATTATTGATAGAATTTATAGTAATTTTTTTTCATAAAAAATATTCCTGCAAAATTTCTTGCGAAACAATTCGCAGGAAACTTTTCTGCAAATTTTTTTTTGCAGGAAACTTTCCTGTGAATTTTTTTTTTTACAGGAAACTTTCCTGCGAATTTTTTTCGCAAGAAATTTCGCAGCAAAATTTCCTACGAATTTTTAAATTCGCAAAAATATATTATCCACGAAGGTATTACC